TTACCCAGTTGAATTTCGCACTGGATTGTTCGATTTTTTGATAGCCCAGCTTCTCTTCATTCTCTTCTTAGAGGAACAGTCTCTTAAATTTCCCGCATGTTTAATAAACAACCTGACATAATACAGCCTCTGATGTGTATGTTATATTACATCCTAAAGTACCAACTCAAAGTAGTACTTATATATTTTTTTTAAATTAAAGTTTTTTTGTGAAATTCTAACCATCAACGAGACGTAAGCTGGCATCGCCGGAGGCCGTGCTGCTCCACTATATCAAGAAGAATCGCGCCGTTTATAGCGGGGTAAGAACCCCGGGACGTTTTAATTGCGCCGCAATTTACACCTATTTCCATGTAATTTATAGTGATTAATTTCACTTTTGCGAAAAAGTTTCACGTACGTCTCGCCGCTAGGTAGAAGCCCGTCGAGTCGATGCGTATTCGCTCCGGATTATTTACGACAGAGGACAATTTCAACGCGATTAAACTCGAAGACGAGGTGAATTTAATATGCGATGTGGCCACGATAATTTTCTAGAGTGATTAAGCGGGGTAAAAATCTTGTTGTAAAATCGGATAGACTTTTCTTATCAATTTTTATTCACAAGAAATCAGAAATATTTTGTCATATTTTAGGTAGGTCAATCACTATATACGTATTAATGACATAATAAAAAGGATGAAAGTTTAACGTTTCTTGTCCGTTTTATTTTTCGGATGAACTTTTAATAATTTACACGAACCGCTCGACTATGCCATCGCAATTATGCAAATGGCCGGTTAAGAGTGATCAAACTCGATTACTTATGAAGATGGCATTTAAAAAGAAGAAGAAACGCCGTAAATAAATACCAACTGTTTTTATCTTAAAAGCTTAAAAATCTCGAAAGCTGTATAATTATATCAATAAAGGTCCTAATTACTACTGTCCGATTGAGAGGCTGATTGAAAATTATTGTCGGAGAAAGTGGTTCGTTTGTAGCTATCGTAATTAATGAAGAAAACAGTGGCGGAATTATTATATAATCTAAATATTCGATTTTTACTTCTTTAAAACGCAAATTACAACTCTATTCCTTCAATATACGTACTTTTTATAATTAATTTAATATTTTGTTAATAAATGAGTTAATCTCTAAAAAGTTTTAGTTAAATGTGCATTCTTTTGAGACGCCACTGCGCCATTATAATTATTCCATGCATAAATTATGGCATTTAAAAACAAAATAAAGTCCTCTCTTGTTAATTGACTACATTCTTGATGAGGTCTAGTGTTACAATTTTCATAAAAAAATACGGTGACATCGAGTCACATATATTTTTTGATTTTATGTGGAAAAAAAGCTACGGTACAAGGGATTTCACTTTGCGCTCATTAGTGTAACCACGAATTCGTTCGTTGATTATCCAATAAATCCGGCTATTTGTTCGAAATAGAAAAAATAACGGTAATTCTAGTGTAAAAAAATGGTAAATCTCGATGTTAGTAATAGAACAGAGCCCGTTCTTAGGAGAGATTTATACATTATTAAGTACTCGCGCTCGACCTGTGGGCTATTTACTAACAAACCAATATACAACTTGAGAAATTCGTTCGAACTAATTGGCTAACAAATTACGGTTCACGCGCGAATGGTTCTCGACAGTCGAGCAATAGCTGAAACAATTATAATCTCGCCCGATTGACAATGGGACATGTACGGCATTCCGGCGCACTCGCGGGTACTCCTATTGATTAGTTATGGTACTCGCATTAACAAATAACAAACGAGGAAATAGGTAAATTAGCAACGCAGTTTATGTTACTGGGTGCTCGATATTTCTGGTATTTTAATTGAATCGAAAGTTTGTACTGGTACTGAATATATTAACGTTTTGTTTTATTTAACTTCTAATCACTGAGGTAATTCAAGTTAGGTAGTTAATAATAATAATCCTGGAAGGGAGACAGCAGATTTTTTTAATACTGATCAAATGATCCAACAAATTATAAGCCAATCAGCAAAGTTAATTAAAGAAAAAATGCAACGAATCAGTAATTGTTTTTTTCTCATCCGAGGTCCTGGAGAAAAAGATAAAATAAAATTGTCGATGGTAACAAAAAACCGTCGATGTACGTCCATAAAATTCTCGCCGGAGTCCCGGACATCAATATCCGCGATAGTCGATCGGCCGTCGCGAATTTGCTTAAACGGCTCTCCGCAGCGCTGGCGTAATATGGTAGCCTTCACATAATTTCGCTGATAAAGGAGTTTGAAAGTGAAAAACACGAAAGCGGAGTGTCCGTATCCGACTCGCATCGGATAGATCGCCGGTGGCGGGACTGTCTATAACAAAAACGCGGAGGAACGCGGCCGAAAAAGTCCAATAAAAGCGCCGGGAAAAATACGGGCGCTGATCGTGGTTGTGCTGCTGTTCGTTGGTGGCTCTTGACAAATTCTGATGAACGATTAGAGAATAGGGAGTGATGTCGACGTCGCGAGATAAACGCTACTTTTCTTCGGGTTGTTTTTTTTTTCTTCGCTTAGCGGATTTATTGCGAATGAATGGGCTGATAAAAGAGGACAAGGCACTCTAAACATACAGGGAATTTCTATAAAACTACTTCGAGCACACAATCGCTTAGTAGCATATTGTTTAAAATTCTACAGCTTTCGCTATGTTGTTATCAATTTATCAATAGATTCATTCCTACTCTTCTATACTCTTTAGATCTCGGGTAAATGTGGCCCGGTTTTTTGTGCTCTTTTCTGAATTATTGGCGAATTGGAGTAACTGGAACATTACCAACAAACGCTAACAGTTTCGTCAAAAGCCACATTGACCATCGACGTCGACGGACCGGCGCAGCACTATTTTATTATCCAGCTTTTTTTCTTCGATCCCGGCTTTGTATCAGATATTGTAGACAATAATGAAAGGTTGCGGAACAATAGTGGGCGTTTCGGGTAATCAATTATATGGCACAACTATTATTAAGACGCGCGTTGTACGAGAGCGTATGAATGAAAAAAGGTATCACGATATTTTTTTCTCGTCTTCTGCCGAGCTCCGAGGAACGCCCCGGTAATGCGATGGTATTGTAAAATTGGAAAAAAAAAACCGGAAACAATTCATCGCCAAAGCAAAATAGTTTAGGTACTCGATTAGTTACAATTGAATAAAAATTTCGCTTGTAAATCCAGATTGCTGTACAACACCTCTACTATACACTTAATTACACTCGACTACAAATAACAGTTATTTTTATCGTTACATGCATAACTTTTCCTTCCAAAAACATCAAAATAATGGTATAAATTCCAGGACATCACAGAGACAATGCTGGTATTGATTACACTTTTAATTAAGTCAAATAAATCACGGGCAATTTAATTTTTACCGTTGCAGCACCGAGTGCTTGTCTTCGGCGTTTATTTTCTCGAATAAAACCGTGGAGTTTGTAGAAGATCACGTTTTGGTTGATCGCGTTATCTATGTTAAGTCGAATTGCTCCCCACTGTGATCCACGGTCATTTTTTATATTACAAGAAGACGTTATAAATAACGAAACAGAAGCCGTCTAATTAAATTGACAGGAGCGGTAAGATCAAAATCTCTAAACCAGCGGCGTAACGCGAATTTCTCCCATTAAAATTCGAGAAAATTGACGCGCGGATTTAGTTGATAATAAAAGACGATTACTGAATAAAAACTGTTTTTGTATTTTGTATAAATTGAGGGCAAGAAATGATTTAATTAGCGTGCGCTACTGGTTTCGAGATCAAATTGGAGCCGCGGCTTTGTAAAGGTCTGGGTCTTTTGTTGTTCCACTCGCATTAATATTCATAATTCTACATAAATTTCGGCTTATCAATCGGTTTTATTTATAATTATCGTTGTTTATTAATTGGTGTTGCACTATGACTTTAATAACCGGCGGATGATCGTTCCGAAAAGGGATTTCTAACCGATGAGCTCTCTAATTAGTCCCATTTTTAATAATTTGGAATTAACGTAATTTAATTATAATCTCTAATTAAACGGTACAAAAAGTTTTCGAATCCAAAATACGACGATGAGAATTCCACGAAAATAATTATTATCCCCATTGTGCCTCTAACTAACCTATTATTACTCACAAATGCGTTTAATAAGATTTTAATAATATTCATCGAATTGTGCGCAGTTAATCCTGGACTGCTCATTAACGAAAAAATAAACCCGTCATCCAATTAAGTTCTCATTGAATGATACCAAAATGTATCTCATATACACGTACGTGAACGGAATTTAGTTTTTGTTATTGCAACTGTCGGACGACAATTCCACCATCGGCGCTCCCCGAATACCACAACATCCATCGCTTTTCGCCAGAAATTTATACCAAGCAGCATTTGCATCGTAATAAAATGTTAATCAATACATCGAACTTATTGAACGCGTTAGCTGCAACCGGCGAACGACGAGTCCAAGTGTGCGACCGCTGGTGGAATACCGCACCGCGTGTTGTATCAACCAACGCGAGAGCACAAGAAGTAGATGGCACGCGCTAAACTGGCGTAACTAACATGATGGACTTGACATTACTGTCAATCAAAACCTTTTATTGAACAACACCTGGTTATGTGGACGCTTTGTTGCGACGAGGAAGTGATACACAATCGAATTCCAATACGGCCGTTATGGGATTCGTATTCAAATAGTTCGGGGATTTTTAAGCAATATTAATTATTAGATGAGAGCATGCGGGCGAGGGCGCGGTTTCATAGACGTTTCGTGTGGTTTTAAACGAGTTTATAATGGATTTTTAAGTGTATTTTTTTGATAAAAATATCTGCAAAGTTGTGCAGTTTCGACCATTCGAAATCATTCCTGATATAAAAATTATTAACAAGTACATCCTGTATATTAATGTATTTATAATGAACCAAATATATTACACACCACTGAGCTGATAACGCTCAAGTGATAATTCCCATATCAACTACTAAACGCAATAATCGAATTAAGAAAATAGTCATTAAAATGCTGCTCGTCGGGCTGTTGTTGTTGCAACTCGCGTTCATCCAATCGTCTTCGGGCGATGCATTGGTAACGTTTAAAAACGTAGTTTTCCACGGTTACTACAAGTTCGCGCCGAAATTCAAGCCCACCATCCTCTCCGGCGACAGTTTGAAGGACTTCTTGCCCAGCGACGATTTCGATCGCATCGAAATCGTCAATCAGAACGTGCCGGTTTTGTTCGAGAACGCGATTTGCGACATCGGCAACTTGGAGGAGCTGATAATCGAGTCCTGTAACGTGAGAAGCGTCCTACCGGGAGCTTTCAGGAATCTGGCGAGGTTGAAAAGGATTTCTTTAAAAGGTCGGTAAGAAGGTTTCCTTTCGTTACGAAGCGCGCTAATGTTTTTATTGTTTTTAGTGAATGTTTTATCTGCGATAGAAAATGGGGTGTTCAATCACTTGCTCATGCACACGTTAGATTTGAGCTACAACAGGATAGAAAAAATTGCATCTGGGGCATTTGATGACATGCCGCATATTTACCACATAAATTTAGCGCATAATAAGATCTCGGAATGGGATGTAAATTGGTTCAAAAGAACACCAGAGTTGTCTGTGATATATTTCAAAAACAACGAATTAGAAGAATTGCCGGGTGGATGTTTGCGTAATTTGGACTCCATCAGGGACGTAAATTTAATTTTGAGCAGGAATAGGATATCTAAAATCAACCGGGACGCGTTCGCAGGCCGAAAGCGCATCAACCAGCTGTTTTTGGACAACAATCTCCTGCGGAAATTCGACAAGGAAATTCTACGCGACACATTCGTTAATGATTTGAGATTGAACAACAACAGTATCGAATGCTTCGTTGAACAAGATCTGGACACAGTTTTCAGAGGTACTAATGTTTATATCGAATACAATCCGTTGGACTGCGAATGTCGCGAAATGCTGGGCAAATGGAGCAGGAAACACGATGGTAAAGATTTGGGAATCAACGAAGACGAGTGCTTTAAAGGTCGCGAAGATTCTCTGGTTTTACATTGGGGTAGGAAACCACCATACGCTGATATAACGGTGGTGTTGCCCAAAAGTTACACAAATTATACAATTTTTTGAGTTTTTGTAATTGTAAAGTGAAAATGTAACTTATCATCCACCATCTTTAGAGCTGTTTTTTTTTAGCATAAAGCTTATTAAAGCATCACCACATGCTCTTATTTGACAATATTCTCTCTAGTTCAACGGCATTTTGTTCAGGTAAATTATACACCGATTTCGTTTTTCTCGCTTTCCAACCGCAGGCGGGCGGTTCTCGGGCGAATATCGCTGGTAATTTTTTATTCGAAAGGATCGAAAGGCAAGCGATATCCCTCGGCGTGTGTGCTATGGGTCGGGTTATTGTTAAATTGAAATAAAATCTGTGAATTACTGACGAGGAACGTTTTTCGAGATCTCGACCGATTATGGCCGGCCTTAAATATCGCTCCTTTCGAGTGGTTTATGGGCCTTTCGGGTTGTAATTGTGACATTACGGGGGAGAGGAAACCAATAACTATATAACGCGTAATGTGGTTTTTAGCTCGAACGCGCGTTAAGTATCGAAATTTATTCGATTTTCATTCAAATAAACAGGTTGTTTTTCTACTATGAGTAGAAGGTAATAGCGTAAAAAAAGGTCTACATATAAGAAATTGCATTTAACTTAACTAGGCAATTATAATAACATTATGAATGTAATGTAGTAACTTTAAAAACATTAAAAATAAATGTATACTGGGATTTTATTTCGCTTTATACATACTTACATCTGCATGCTATTAGTTTATTATACTGTTAATTGTAAAGGTCAGCGAGTATCAAAGAGAGTCAATTGTAATTAATCGAGTTAATACCAATTACTCAATTACAATAACGAGATTCTACGGAGCATCTCCAGTAAATTATTACAACATTACTATTGATTACAAATTGAAATCGCTCGCAGCATCGTCCTGTAGAAAACGCTTATTATTTTAGGTCGACTTTACGAAAATTTATGGCCGTTTGAGTCCTTGTAAATAATTTCGATGGCATCCAATTAGCGTCATTTACGCGGATTCCGCACGTAATAATCCGCAATAAGTTTTTGTTTTTAATTAGCGCTCGATTTGTTGCGGCTCGATATAATTGTGATTGCAGCGCCTTTCGAAAAATTATCAAAGGCCTTATATGTCGAAGATGGCCGCGCGCCCGGCGTTGGGGCGATGGCGATCTTATCGTTAGCACGTCGAAGGAAGGTGACGGGATGATTAATAAATTTTCGCCGCGGAAACGAGATGAGGCGAACCGTCGCCATTTCGACGAGTGAGATTTTATAAATCTCGTTAAATTTGAATTAAATATTCAGAGAATTAATAGTAACAGGTGAATGTTTTCAAAAGTACTGTAAGAGGGAGAATAAAAATATGGGATTTTATAGATTTTTTTGGTGACAATTTTAGGATTTTTTTATTGTTGTGGTTTTTTCCTTGCGTTTTTAGAAGTTGAATTAAAAGAGGGTTTAAGGATTTTTTGTCCTTCATTTTAAAGTCAATTTTTCCAGGATTTCTTAGATGAGTCTTATTTGGCAAAACCTGTACACAAGCAATAAATTATGAAAACCTTAAAAAAGCACCTTTAAATAATGTTGAACATTGTGAAAAAATACGAATTTTTGAATGAAAAATGAGTTTTTTTATGACTTAAAAACTGGTCCTTTCTTACGACTTTTAAGGACTTTTTAGTATAGCTACTTCTTAGTAAAATAAATTTATTCGAGCCTTTAGCTAATCCTCTCTACAAGCTATAGAATAAAAGACAAAGAAACGCACCTAAACAATAAAACAATGCGTAAAAATCCGAATTTGTTCGAAGACAAAACCTCCTGTCCATTAACATACACCCGCTAATGACGACTCTGAATTTTCACGTGTTTTATTATAATCGCCTCTAAGACCATAAAGTATTGTGCCATGTGAATGTTTCGGTTTCGTACATGTTTACCCTCATTGTCTTCGTATATTAGGCATGGGAATACGTCCACAGAAAATAATTATAGGCTATTATCGGCTATAGAGATTTTTTTTAAACTTTGAATCTGATACACAATATTTTATTTCAGACGGACCACCAACATTGCGTCGACATTATTATAACAAAGAAACTTTTACTCGACAATTTTCGTCGCCGTATTTAAGCCAAATTAGCGGTAATAAGGAAATTCACTTAAATCATTAATTATATCTTAATAAGGTTATCAAGAGATGCGAGAGAAGACAATGGCATTATGTTGTATTTAACATTTTTTCTTCTCTCAATTGGACTAAATTCCTAAAGCACGCTAAAGCATTTACCTAATATACTAGAAATAATCTGGTACAATGGCCGTTCTATACAGAACCCGAAGATTAGATCAAAACATTTTGATACAGCCTCTAAATGCTCGAATTAAACATCTAATAAATCTGATTATTAGACTTTTACTAGATAGGATCGATAAGCAAATTGAAACGAGAACTACCGCTGCTCCGGCGAGCCCGCACAATAAAATGTTATTAAAGAATGACGTAGCGAATCGAATTTTCTTATCTCGATCGGTTTTTTTATACGAGATTATTAATACGCTCAATTAAATCGTTTGTGACCGGATTCTCAGGTATTTTTCTATTGTCTCCCGCTCTCCTATATCGTACTTTTATAATCCAATACATCATACGATAAAAATGGAAATATATTTGAGAGTTAATATTTCAAATTTACTCCCTACTTTTATCCTTGAATAAAGGTAGAGAGTAAATAATGAATATGCAGGATGAATCAGGAAAAAAGGTATGGGGAATAAAATGATGTTGGAGAGTTAAGATTGAGTTATTTATTCTTGTCCCTAATCTATTTAATCCATTCCAAATTTACTCCCTACTTTTGCACGAGACTATGCTCGAGTCTCTCTGCATCAACGATGTTAGTAAAATGTAACTTGCTATTTATTCGAGGATAAAGGTAGAGAGTAAATAATTCTGTAGCAGAATGATTGAAGGACAAAAGTAGGGAGTAAATTCGAAATGGATTAAATAGAATTCGTCATAAATAATAACCGCTGCGACTTCCGTTAAAATACCACGAAGAAGGGCGTTTACCGCGCATTTTTACACCTCGTCGACGAAATCGAAATAATAAAATAGAGCCGGTACACGGCGGGTAATGAATATTTACTAGCGTGAAACAGACTTACTACCGACATTGTATAAATATACGAGCGAGTCCACGATTTGAATGAATCAAATCAACAAATTGTGCGTCTGAATGGGATAGAGAAGTGAACCAGATGGTCGCTCCACGCCAACTTAACATCTTTCGCGTGGGCACGAGGTGCACTTTCCGTGGGCTCGGCTCGCGCACACCGCGGATGCCCCGCGTTTTATTTATAGTACGAGGAAAAAAATACTATACCTACCTTATTTCATATACTTATTCATTATTTACAATACACTAGTAAACGAGGGTTGCTTAGAAACGTTTAGATTCGTTTATGTGTATCGGTTTTTTTATAATATCTAGTAATTTAGAAACTCGCCCAATAAAGGCGACATTCTGGCTGCGAATCAGTCGCATTTTATACGGAAAACGTTTACGAGGGGTCGGCGCAGACCGAAATTTACATTTAAATACGTCCTTTACCCGGCGTTTACAAGCCAGAAATCCCAATAAACTAGACAACGTTATCTCCCAATGAGGTGATAATTATAAGGCGATTTATACGTGGCGAGTTAAAAGGCGATCGAATGGCCGGGCAACGGCGAAACATGCCGTATTTTATTTCTTAATTCGACTGAATATCGTGGTTTTTTTTATCACTTATAACTCCAATAAGTTAAACGCGAAAGGGTTTCTGCCCTGTGTTATCATTCACGTTCTACAGGATGTTGATTAATAAGTGTGACAAACTTTAGGGGGTGATTCTGCATGAAAAAATAATGATATTTTATTATATAGACATATGTCCGCAAATATTTCGTTTTCGAGATACGGGGTGTTAAAGTTTCTTCTTATAAACCAAAGATTTATTTATTTCTCTGAAACTAGACGAGATATTCAAATGAAATTTGGTGGGTTTTGAGAGTTTACAATTACGCATTTTTTGACATAAAATTAAAAATTTTACGTTCATCATTAAAGCGTGTATGGGTAATAATATTTTTTTAAAAGAAAAAAATAATATTGGTACGCCACTGAGGCACTTTTATTGAAAATTCAATTATGAATGAACTCCTCGTTCAGTTTGTGACAAAAAAACTCTCTTGTATTTTTTTCGTACGGGCCGCTGTTTTCGAGTAAAAAAATAAAACATATTGACGTGTATTTTTCATTTCCTCAATACTTTATCTGAAGAAACTTTAACACCCCGTATCTCGAAAACGAAGCTTTCGCGGACATATGTTTATATAGCAAAACATCATTATTTTTTCATGCAGAATCACCCCCTGAAATGTGCTCACATATTAATCAACACCCTGTATACCACAACCTATACGCATCCAATCGAAATCAAACCGAATCGAAAATCCGTTTCGCTTTAGTTAGACGATTACAAATGACGGGGAATTTCGGGGCTGTTGTGCCGCATAGTCGGATCCATCTATCCGGCGTGGCATGTTACCGGTAGCCCCGGCGCGCTCCGTCCGCGTTCTTCTCCTTCATCTTCTCTATAGAAACCCGCTCGCGGTCCCCATCGCGGTCTGATGAAGCGACCCACAGCGGAGTGCAAATGGCATTCGATTAATTTCAACCGCAGCATAAATACATCACAAACAACCTTTTATTAATGCTCACCACTTAATAGCCGCCAGTGGCGGCAGACCCTGCACCCCTGTATAAATTCCCTCTAAACGCGAATCTAGGTTACGTATGCCGAGGGAATAGATATTGTCAAGTGTCTTTTGCCCCATCTAGTGTTAGTTTTATGCGACTTTCAATGACCCTCTCCTATGCAGTAGTCATTTAGTCAATTTTGCTTCAAAAATATGTTTTAGTATAACTTGTTACGTTTTTGCAATAGCGTGTACGCCAATGGTTTTTTCCAATCCGATGGTTTTGTTGTCTTCTTGCGGTAATGGTAGGATAAAGAAGCCACATTTAACGAATATTAACTTTGATTGATTGGAGCTTTCTTGAAAACCACCGCACGATTTTCATGGTCGTTTGACGACTACTCGCTGATTCTGTTTTAACATAGGCAAAATGCACGTAAATTAACAACGCGAAGTTGTGTTTTTGGCGAATTAGCGCCTTATTAGAACGAAGTAAGTCTTGTTTTATATGATAATAGTGTCGTTAAGTTGTACACAAGAGAGCTGTATAGCAACTGGATATCGTCTAGCCGGTTTTCCACCCTCGCTTTTCCACTGATTGCGCCGCTTCAATCATAACTCAGGCGCTAACGATGCACCTAATAAAGGTTTCGTTTGTACATTCTACAAATGAAAATTGTACTACTAATTTATAGACCGGTTGCGTTTACTCGTTTAAAACACACGCATTTATTTACCAAGTTTATCTTAGTTCGAAAGGTTATCTTCGCTATAACGTAGAAATTTCAGTCATAATAATAGAAATACTGATAGAATTTACATATGTATGCACGCGCATTTTATTATTCACTCGATTCCAAATAATTTAATTTAAAACGCTTCCCGTTAAGATAATTTTTAATTAAATTTTTTTAGGAAGTATATTAAAAACAACTATGATAAAATAAC